TACTACTACTACTACTACTACTACTACTACTACTACTACTATTATTATTATTATTATTATTATTATTATTATTATTATTATTACCACATTGCTTTTTAATTTTTGTTACCAGATTAAAGTATTCAACTTTGCATTCTTTTTGCTTCATGTACCAGTAATCAGAGCATGATCAGTCCAAATACTTATGTTGAATCGATCATTGTTAAATCTATTTCTTTTTTGAATACATCGTTGGTACGCATCATTCATAAATTAATCAATCCAAAATTTCCAAAAATATATTCCAGAGTTGTTCGTTTTAAAAAAAATCAGTGAATTCATCGAATCATGTGTATCGAATGTGTATTCATTTTTTGTTTTATTTTTAATTCTTGAGAATAATGACTTCATCGTCGCTGCGAAGAATTAATGCTAATTTGAAAATATTTTGTGTACATGGAATATATTTAATAGCGATAGTGTAATATTTTAATGGGTATTTATGGTATACTTATGTGTTTTGCTTGTTGCCTTTTTATTATAAACTTGATGAATGAAAAAAAATATTTACATAAATAATAATTTAAATATGATAATTAGTGAATGAATAATATCGATTGATACAATTCAATTTTTCAGCATTGTGTTACATGCGATATTGTACTTCAACTTTATTAATTTATTTTTCTCCATATATTATAAATTAATTGAAAATGAACAAAAAAAACAATAATGCAACATACGAATCATGTATAATATCGTCAGTATTATTTCTCACGTAATGGACTACATTATAAACGTTTTTAATTGATCATAGACATTAAACTGATAAGAAATCTCTTTTATCTTTATCAATAAAATTTGTTCCTAGGATTATCATCTTTATGACTTTGTGTCCATCGCTCTTTCGCCATTCACGGTAAACAAAAATCTATGAAAAAATTGAGTTTCTTATTATAAAAATACTTCTTATATTTTTTTAAAGTAACAATTTTTTTACTCATGAAATTTTAATTTCATTTATCGATTTTAAAATTATTACGAATTTTATAAAAATCAACGTAATCAATCTTTTTGTTATTATTTGTTGTTTCTTGTTATATTTACTTGATGATTTTTAATAAATGCACTCGGCATATGTGTGTATATATATATATATATATATATACATATAATNATATATATATATATATATATATATATATATATATATATATATTAACATAAGAATCTCAATTTACATGTACATCGCTTTAAAATCACGTTTATGTTTTTCATCTCATCGGTTTAAAATTATCGTTATTTTAACGTATATATGAAAAACAGAGTATACATTTTTGAAGATTAATTCAAAATTGATATTACGATTTTTTGTGTATATTTTATTTTTTTAAAAATATTCAAATATGTAATACTGTATTAAATTTTGTTTTGATAAATGAATATACATATATAATTCAAGTAGTATACATAAAAAATAGATCACATTATTTAAATGACATACATAATAAAAAGTTTTGTATAATATAGTTCATCAATCAAAAATTTATCATTGAACTACATACAATCGACAATGAAAGAAAAAAAAAAAAAAAAGTTTTAAATTATAAATGCGACAGTAGAATACATTTAATTTTTAAATTTGGAAAAAATATGATTTGACAAATATTTTTCTCAATATATTTCATGAATATGAATCATTTGATATTTTATATATATGTTCAAAATTCAAATAACTTAAAAGTAAAATAATTGCAATTAAAGTTTGTAACTAAATGCAATTTTACGTATATGTATCGTCAATTTCTTTGAAGTACGTAACTAGTATACTTACGTATCGATAATCAAACTTTTAATGTTAATTGATTACGAAAGAAGAATATAGGTCTGCTTTTACTGTTTTTATTTACATTTTTTTATGAAGTTTTCATGATAAAAGGAATAATTAAATTGAAATTAAAATTTTGAATATCAAATGTTAATATTTTAGTATACACAATAGATTGCTGAATCTATAAAATAAAATCGCTCAAAATAATTTAAAAATAATATTTCTCGTATCAATATTTCTATTTATATATATATTGCACATTTAAAGACATATATATGTATATGTATATGTATATGTATATATATATATATATATATATATATATATATATATAATGAATGAAAACAAATAATAAATATATACGATGTTTTTTGAAATTTTGAAAAATTTATCGAATAAAATAAATAATTTCTACTAAAATAAATAATAATATACTAAATTTACTATTACAAAAAAAAAGATGCATTCAGTATATATTATTACTGCATGCAATATAGCATGACACGCATTTGGCTCTAATAAAAAGTATTTATTTGGTATTTATGTAGAGCCTGTTTTAAAAACATAACTGCGTATACATAAACAAATTATAGATAATTATAAATCTAAATACGTAAAGATATTTTTCTTTGTTTTTCTACAATTTTCTACATTTTTTTCTATTTTATTAATAACATTTACATTAAACTATTGTAATATATTATCAACTGCCATTAGTCTTATATATATAAACAATATACATATATAATGCTTTTGTCATATCATAAAAAATTATCTCGAGTACGTTCGAAACATTATTTGTTGATCTTACCTTAACAATTGTTTATTTTATTGATCCTTTTAAAATATACTTTTGTCATGAAATCGATAAAAGTATTTCAATGCTTTCTAGATGTTAGTTTTTGTACGAATTTCATTCTCACATTGGGGGGCAGTCAATAATCTAGTTTACATTTTGTAAAAATAACGAATAACTTGCTAAATAAATATAACAAAGTGTATACGCGTTAATAGATATAAAATCTAATAAAATCTAATTTGTGTCAGCATTTTTCAAATTGTGCATATGCGTTTTATAGCATGATGCAAAACATTTTGTTAAATGAAACACAATATAGATATATTTAAAAAATAATATGTGCAATAATCTATTTTTTTTTTACGCGCGTGAACGGTCTCTTATGTCGTTATAATTTAATTTTGTGATTTTTTTTAAATACCAAATAAATTAAAATATATACTATCATTGAAATATAATATAAAATAAATTAATCAGACTCCATTTTGATATATTTTTTTAAAGATATTTACACAAACTTTAATAAAGGTAAATCGTTAAAGTAATATTTACTATTACTCTCGATTCATTTAACAATTCTCTAACAAACTCTGATATTGTGATTAACAATGGTACTATTTTAAATCAAAGTAAATCGGATATCAATTTATTTTCACGAATGACCTGATTTTACTTTGGCTATGCATCATATATGCGTATATGTACGGATATATGTATATACGCATGTATAGGTATGTGAACATATGAAGGGATGTAAATATACATATATATTTAAACGCGCAGATAAAATTTTCTATCTATGGAACAAGTTCGGTTACATAATAAATTTGCATTTTCCTTTATATGCGGTCTCAAGAACAATTTTCGTTCAATGTTAATTTAATTTTCTATGTTAATTTTCTATGTTAATATGTTTACTAAACATATTACGTAAACAATAATTTATATATTTACAAGTACCGAACAAATATATTGAAGTTGAGTATCTAACAAATATTATTTAAAAAGTTAAAAAAAAATATTTGACGAATTAATAAAAATTTTCTTTTTTTTTCATGAATCTTTTTTGTCCAATTACTTTTATACACAATTTTGTTTTATCTCATTTTATATTTTTTTCTTCGAACACGTAAAACATCGAATGTTACAATGAGACGTATAGTACCAATGATGCAATATAGAAAGCATGGTTCTTTAAATTGAATGGCAGTGATAAAAAAATGGATTATCAACATCATGCGTTTAATTGTTCTTATCGCTAATAATATAGTGTATGTATACAGCTAGGTAAATTTTCGATGATATAAGTGAGTACTGATACTGTTTGTCCAAATTAAATTTTTATTAAACACGGTTTCTTTCTGTAACATCGAGGACGAATTATAACATAAATAATTATTATTGATCAGTATCACTTTTTTGCGCTCAACAATGAGACTATTTTTTTAATAACACTG